CTCTATAATGCACACGGTTCTATATTGCACATGGCTCTATATTGCACATGGTCCTATATTGCACATGGTTCTGTATTGCACATGGTCCTATATTGAACATGTGGCTCTATATTGCACATCGTTCTGTATTGCACATGGCTCTATATTTCACATGGATCTACATATTGCACATGGATCTACATATTGCGCATGGCTCTATATTGCGCTCGGTTTTGTATTGCACATATATTGAACATGTGGCTCTATATTACACATCGTTCTGTATTGCACATGGCTCTATATTGCACATGGCTCTATATTGCACATGGTTCTATATTGCACATGGCTCTATATTGCACATGGTTCTGTATTGCACATGGTCCTATATTGAACGTGTGGCTCTATATTGCACATCGTTCTGTATTGCACATGGCTCTGTATTGCACATGGCTCTATATTGCACATGGCTCTGTATTGCACATGGATCTACATATTGCGCATGGCTCTATATTGCCCTCGGTTTTGTATTGCACATATATTGAACATGTGGCTCTATATTGCACATCGTTCTGTATTGCACATATATTGAACATGTGGCTCTATATTGCACATCGTTCTGTATTGCACATGGCTCTATATTGCACATGGTTCTATATTGCACATGGCTCAATATTGCACATGGTTCTATATTGCACATGGCTCAATATTGCACATGGTTGTACAGTCTTATGGGGCTCCCCTCTCCACAGAGCTCGCCTGTTTCTAAACATGGAAGATGACATTATTTTTACAAGACATTTATTGCGTTGATATTTATTCCCGTAGCGTAAGTGTTTAAGTTTAAATCCCAACAAAGAAGGATTCATGTTTGAAAGACTGCAGTTTCACTCTTCATCAGACGTATATTTTTCAACACTTTGACACTTGTTTTGTTCAGCACTTTGAATTGCCTTGTGTCTGAACTGTGCAATACATATACAGTTCCTTGCCTACTTTTGAACACATTTTTAGAATTATTTTAGTACTTTTAAAGAGATGTACGTTATTAGGTCTTATAAATAATTGACAAAACAGTAGAATATCAGTTTGACACACTTTTTTGTAGTGAAAGCCAGATCCTGTCAGACCTCTGAAGCTAAGCAGGGCAGGGCCTGGTTAGTACTGTGATGGGAGACCCCTGGGAACACCGGGTGCCACAGTGGGGCGGCTGCAAAGTGCAAAACTGTTGTTGTGTCCTTAGGCAAGACACTTCCCCCACATAAGAATGAGTCTGGTGTGTGTGTGAGTGGTTGGTGGTGGTGGGAGGGGCCAATGGCACAGACCGATTGCCTTGCTCCTGTCAGTGTGCCCCAGGGCAGCCGCAGCGGTTTGTGTTTGGAGTGAATGAACGAGCGTCCCAAAAACCGCTGTATAAAACCGATTCATTATTGTTATTATGGAATTATCTCACGTTTTGTGGATCAAAATGGTCGCCCAGTCACCAGCACGAACAGCAGATCGCTTTGGCTTTCTCTCGGCGTATAAAACATCTGGTTGATTCCTTTGTGGCGCAGTCATGGAGCAGCCGGAGCGAGCAGATAGCTTTCAGACTGAAACAATATCCAAACAGCCTCATTACAGCGGCTGATGGCGGTGAGAGGGGGGGCGCCAGGACGGCAGACGGCAGACTGAAGCAGCATTCCAATTAGGTAAAATAGATGAATACCTAATTACAGCTGATTCGTTTGCCATTAATTATGTACAATGTTTGTCCGACAGAAAGAGTCCAACACACTTCCTTCAACTTCAAGATGTTCCATTTCATTATATGTATTTTTGAATCGCCCTAAATCACAGCAGGAGTTATCTCAGGACTGTCTCCAACCTTTTTCACACAGAGAGCTACTTTCCCGGGACGATAAAGGCAGAGAGCTACTCCTTTAAGCTAACCCTGGGAAAAAAATTGGTGATATATAGGTGCGAACAAGCCTAATATTGGGTACGTCATTATTTATCAGCATATATTTGTTACTAGTGAGACAGTAAGCGTATTTACAATAAATAATGACAATGAAAAGTACAATCTGAGTATTTTGCTCATTTTTAAATCCTTTGGCGAGCTACCTGGAAGGGGGTGGAGAGCTACAGGTTGGTGTTCTGGTCCCCGGATCACAGACTTTCTGATTGGTGAAACGGTGGAGGGCGGGACATCGAAATAAAAACAATAACAAGATTTAGAGGCTGGCAAAGTAATTTAGAAATTCAAATATCTCTGAACGACTGTTATCAGTTAAAGAAGTATTGGAAAAGAGCAGTTTATTATTATGACAGATTAGGGCCCATTAATGATGACAGATTAGGGCCCTTTAATGAGGACAGATTAGGGCCCTTTAATGATGACAGATTAGGGCCCTTTAATGATGACAGATTAGGGCCCTTTAATGATGACAGATTAGGGCCCTTTTATGATGACAGATTAGGGCCCTTTAATGATGACAGATTAGGGCCCTTTTATGATGACAGATTAGGGCCCTTTAATGATGACAGATTAGGGCCCTTTAATGATGACAGATTAGGGCCCTTTAATGATGACAGATTAGGGCCCTTTGATGATGACAGATTAGGGCCCTTTAATGATGACAGATTAGGGCCCTTTAATGATGACAGATTAGGGCCCTTTAATGATGACAGATTAGGGCCCTTAAATGATGACAGATCAGGGCCCTTTAATGATGACAGATTAGGGCCCTTTAATGATGACAGATTAGGGCCCTTTAATGATGACAGATTAGGGCCCTTTAATGATGACAGATTAGGGCCCTTTTATGATGACAGATTAGGGCCCTTTAATGATGACAAATTAGGGCCCGTTTATGATGACAGTTTAGGGCCCTTTAATGATGACAGATTAGGGCCCTTTTATGATGACAGATTAGGGCCCTTTAATGATGACAGATTAGGGCCCTTTAATGATGACAGATTAGGGCCCTTTAATTATGACAGATTAGGGCCCTTTTATGATGACAGATTAGGGCCCTTTAATTATGACAGATTAGGGCCCTTTAATGATGACAGATTAGGGCCCTTTAATGATGACAGATTAGGGCCATTTGATGATGACAGATTAGGGCCCTTTAATGATGACAGATTAGGGCCCTTTAATGATGACAGCATTAGGGCCCTTTAATGATGACAGATTATGGCCCTTTAATGACGACAGATTATGGCCCTTTAATGATGACCGATCAGGGCCCTTTGTATGTTTGTATCTGTACATGTTTATTGCACATTCGGGCATAGTTTAAGTGATTATTGCACAGATGAGAAAAGCGGCAGAATAGATTTTATGAATATCACACAATTAAGATCATAGATAATAATGTTAAAATAATAGTAAGTAATAAGATGTAAAATAGATTAAATAAAAATAAACTCTATAATTGCACTTGGTTCAGAGGTATTTACAGATATGTGCAATAATCACCGTGAGTGCGAGTTCGCCGTTGCCATGAGGCGTCTGCGGCTGCGGTTGCCAGACGTGTCGAACAAAATCCTCTGTTTTTGTCTCTGTCTTTTCTCTTTTGAAGCAAAATGAAAGGAGCAGAGAAGCCGTAAATATGCAGCTGTCGGAGCTGGTGCCTCTCTCTCACAGACCGCCACTGTGGCCGCGACCACGACCACGGCCACGGCGAGGAGAACAAAGGCACGGGAGAGAGCGCCGCCATGACACCCTCTCCTGTTGTCGTTGACAAAAGTCCTCGTCGTGTGTTTTTGAGTTTTGAGGTTTTTGTTTTCGGTCTGGATCTTTTAAGAATGTGTTTTTGTTTTTTTTTTGCAATTTTTTTTTTTTCAAACACCAGAAATGTTTGAAAATGGCACAAAAACAAAATTACAATTTAAAAAAAACCTATTATTTCTTCAACACTAGGACTGACACTGCAGAATTATGAAACTATACTAGAACTCCCAGAGCAGTCATTTTGACGGCTCCCATTCAAATTTATGGAACTATGAAAAAAATATAAAAATAGTTTTTTTTTCTTTTTTTAATAATTGTATTAAAATTAAGTAATTCATACAGTGTTTAATCTTTATTACAAGCCAAAACTATTGAATATAACTTAAATACAACACAACTAAATAACTGCTGCAAGTAAACCATGTGTTGCTATGGTAACTAGTCTGAACCAGTCTGAACCCCTCCAGGACCAGTCTGAACCAGTCTGAAATAGTCTGAATCAGTCTGAGCCAAACTGAACCAGTATGAACCAGTCTGAACCAGTATGACCCGTCTGAACCAGTTTGGACCAGTTTGAACCAGTATGACCCGCCTAACCAGTCTGAACCAGTTTTAACCAGTCTGAACCAGTATGACCCGTCTGAAACAGTCTGAACCAGTGTGACCCGTCTGAACCAATCTGAACCAGTTTGACTTGTCTGAACCAGTCTGAGCCAGTCTGAACCAGTATGATCCGTCGGAACCAGAATGAGCCAGTATGAACCAGTCTGAACCAGTCTGAACCAGTATGACCCGTCTGAACCTGTCTGAACCATGACCCAGTATGAACCAGTATGAACCAGTATGACCAGTATGACCTGTCTGAACCAGTCTGAACCAGTCTGAACCAGTCCAGGACCAGGATCAAGACAATTTCATAAACATAATTACATCAAAATAAACCAAAGATAGAAACAGAAAAAGTCACAAACGTATGAAAACTGAAAATGTACATAAACAGAATAATTAAACAAAAAGCCGTCAAAAGTCAGAGAACAGCGTTAGACCAATTAGAACAGTTAGATTTGAATACATTCGTCCAATCAGAAAGCTGTAGGTGTGAGACATTTCAAAAAGTTGCTGACCATAAAGGAAAATGTGAAAACTAAGTCTCACTAATTCAAGTCTACAGGTCTGTACTTCAGCCTCTGATTACAGGTGTCAGTCTCTCCTCCCGTCACAGGCTCTGACAGCGGCGTCTCAAACCAACACAGTCTTATCCAAACCATCACTCGCACTTTTCAGCAGCGCAGATTTACGGCGTATGGATTTTAATAGGTCCGTTTTACGCACTGTCTCCGCGTGTCTGTATTTACGAGCGCGCACTCCGCCGTCGGGACGCGCGGCACCGGGATTTACGCGCGGCCAAACTGCGCCCTGTTGACACCAATAAAGCGCTTTATACGCACCGACGTGTCAATTACAGTCAGTCAGGCAGGTGCGAGATCTCCAACTGTATAGGAACGAGAAAAGGATCTCGCTTCATCTCCTAATCTCTCTCTTTTCGTCTCCACTTCTGCATTTTGGAAGAACCGAGGACACGAGACAGAAGTGTTAAAGGTAAAAAATATAGTCTGAGCAGGATATAATTATCTACCATAAAAAGTGGCCATAGCAGCAGGTGTTTCAGCCCTAGTGCATTAGTGACTTCAATGTTTCCATGGCACGTGTCTGTTTTTGCAAATGAACTATTCTAGTGTGTCATGATATGGGTATTACTGGAGTTATATTTCCCCCAGATTAGAGTCTGGTGGGTCTGTGAATGGTTGGTGGTGGTGGGAGGGGCCGATGGCACAGACGCTGTACTTCTGTCAGTGTGCCCCAGGGCAGACGTGGCTACATTAGTAGTTTATCACCAAAGTCAAAGAATAACAATGTGACGAGTCTGAATAAAACCAATTCAGCAGTAGCAGCAGTAGCAGCAGCAGTAGCAGTAGCAGTAGCAGCAGTAGCAGTAGTAGCAGCAGTAGCAGTAGTAGCAGCAGTGGTAGCAGTAGCAGCAGTAGTAGCAGTAGCAGCAGTAGCAGTAGCAGTAGCAGCAGTAGCAGTAGTAGCAGCAGTGGTAGCAGTAGCAGCAGTAGTAGCAGTAGCAGTAGCAGCAGTAGCAGTAGTAGCAGTAGCAGCAGTAGCAGCAGGAGTAGCAGTAGTAGCAGCAGTAGTAGGAGTAGCAGTAGCAGTAGCAGCAGTAGCAGTAGCAGCAGTAGCAGTAGTAGCAGCAGTAGCAGGAGTAGCAGTAGTAGCAGCAGTAGTAGGAGTAGCAGCAGTAGCAGTAGCAGCAGCAGTAGCAGTAGCAGAAGTAGCAGTAGTAGCAGCAGTAGTAGCAGTAGCAGCAGTAGCAGTAGTAGCAGCAGTAGTAGCAGTAGCAGTAGTAGCAGCAGTAGTAGCAGTAGTAGCAGCAGCAGCAGTAGTAGCAGTAGCAGCAGTAGCAGTAGTAGCAGCAGTAGTAGCAGTAGCAGCAGTAGCAGCAGTAGTAGCAGTAAGTAGCAGCAGTAGCAGCAGTAGCAGCAGTAGTAGCAGTAGCAGCAGTAGCAGTAGTAGCAGCAGTAGTAGCAGTAGCAGCAGTAGCAGCAGTAGTAGCAGCAGCAGTAGCAGTAGTAGCAGCAATAGCAGCAGCAGCAGTAGTAGTAGCAGTAGTAGCAGCAGCAGTAGCAGTAGTAGCAGCAGTAGTAGCAGCAGCAGTAGCAGTAGCAGTAGTAGCAGTAGCAGCAGCAGCAGCAGCAGTAGTAGTGTTCACCAATAGTATATGGTATGATTTTTAATGGGACAGTGTACAATAAAAATTAGCAAAAATGAGAGATGTTTAAAACAGATAAAAATAGATATTATTAAACTCAAATCACTACAAATCAAACTCCTGGATTTATTTATTAATTAAAAATGTATTTCACGCTCTCTCTCTCTGCTCCGTGAGAGTTTCTAAATCTTCTTCTCGGTGAAAGGAAAGTGTCAAAACCAACAGTTGTTCATTCCTCAGTCTGTTGGAGCCACATACCAGCGACACGTACCAGCAACACCAGCGACACATACCAGCAACACCAGCGACACACACCAGCGACACGTACCAGCAACACCAGCGACACATACCAGCAACACCAGCGACACACACCAGCGACACGTACCAGCAACACCAGCGACACATACCAGCAACACCAGCGACACATACCAGCAACACCAGCGACACACACCAGCGACACGTACCAGCAACACCAGCGACACATACCAGCAACACCAGCGACACATACCAGCGACACATACCAGCGACACACACCAGCGACACGTACCAGCAACACCAGCGACACATACCAGCAACACCACCAGCGACACATACCAACAACACCAGCGACACACATACCAGCAACACCAGCGACACATACCAGCAACACCAGCGACACGTACCAGC